ACAGCAATTTCCATGTCTATAGGAGAGCACCACGTGTTCGACACATGGGGAGTGGCCAGACAAATGAGGAGGTGCCAGCATAAGGGCAGTTTCAAACATGAAACCATAACATAGTTTCCATACTTAACAATTAATGTAGACACTACACATGAAAACTATATTCAGAATGAATGGTCTCTTCAAATTAAACTTTTTATACAACCATCTACCTTCTCTCTTCTATCATAATTTTTTTTGTCTTTGTTCCTGCAGAGACATACTCCCTCCGTCCCAAAATACAATACATCCAAACAATTTTAGGATATATTTTGTGGTAAAATAAATTACGCATATAACCCTTCCTAATTACCATATTTGGTTGGTGCTAGATATCAATGGTAGGTATGTTTGTGAATGTTGACTTTTTGAGAGTTTGTACATGCCTAGAATCTCTTATAATTTAAGTGAAAATTGAATGCTTAGATACCTTATATTACAGGACGGAGGGAGTAGTTTCTTGTATAAAAAAATCATTTCCTTCTCTCTCTTTATTAATTCCAATGCCACATTAGCATTTTGCCTACTTAGCATTCTAATTAATGATATGAAAACTACCCATTGTTACTACCCTAAAACATGGAGGTTGCCATTTAGCCTAGGATGGCGGACTTTGCCGCTACCGTTGGTGTCTCTTCTTTGTCGGATGCTTGGTCGTTGTTGGTCTCTTCTCTGGCAGATGCTTTATCACTGTTGTCGCGTTGGCTTCTCCTTTAGAAGATACTTTGCCACCAAGGCAACTTTGGACTCTTCTCCGGTGGATGCTTCGTCGTCAAGGTATCGCATTGGTCTCTCCTTTGGCAGATGCTTTGCCGCCATGGCTGCTGGATGCTTGCCTCGTCTTATCTGGGTGGATGCTTTTCCACCATAGCTATGTCTTCTCTGTAGGCAACCATTGTGTTGATGTATTTTTTTTTTCTCATGGGTTTAGTCGATTAAGGTTTTGGGCTGAGGGTCCCTCTCCGCTGATGTTGTAATTTGTTCCAGGTTTGCCACTACCTTGCTTGTTGTAATCTGCACTACAAGAGTTTCCTCATGGTTGCGTCGTGTAATTCTTTACCTCTTAATGAAATACGTGCTAAGACACGGTCGAAAAAAAAAACAGAAATGGCTCAGCATGGCTAAGGTGACCAATTCATGAGGAATTGTTATTAGGGGAAATTGAACTCGCAAAAACAATGTAAGATTAGGTTTCCAAATATATATTTACTAATTAGCCAATATAATATGCCAATAATGTTTGATTGTGGATATCCTCACATGGTCGCGCCACGAAGTGCCAACTTAGCGTTTGAGGCTTCTACTCCATCGAAGCGCGGAAAATCTTTGTTCAGCATATGCAAGCATAGACAACAATATACTTATATTTTTTCCCGCAATAATGTAACAGAGTAGGAAGAAACACAAAGCCTATCCTTTGACAAGTTGTAGTGGAAAACCTCAAATCAATTAGCTTATGAAAAATATTTGGACACATGATATGACTTCAGATAAATTAAATTAAATATTAAAACCTATGCTGATGATACGAGATACAACTTACAACCACTAGTGCAAAATTAACTTTAGAAAACAACCCATTTTATTCATGGAGATAGTCAAAATTTACTACAACCTTTAAAATACACAACTATTTCTAGATGTGTCCAGTTCATTTATGGAGACAGCCTAACAAACTACCACATCCTAAAGTCTATTAACAGAGATGTGGCTCCTAAGAGACCCTTGTCTAAAAACAGATCCTATTTTCATGTTGTAATTTCTCTGTGACTCAAATAGTGGCTATGAGGTCCTCGATGTCACGCATGCAGTCGGTTCGAGCATGGTATTAGATTCAGTTAGCTTGCATGATGCCTAATAGGGAGCAGACGCTCTAGTGAGTTTGGCGTGTGTTAGGGCTAGAGAGAAATCTAATTCTACTTGATGGAGACTGGTAAAAGAGAATGGTGTACAACTGCAAGTAGAGCCATCTAGTATGGAGTTGCAAGGAGACCCTTGTTTACTGTGGGTCTACGATGAGACTCGTCAGGCAGCTCTCTTGGAGCAGCAAAGGTGACTCAGGTTCTAGTACAGACGCTCGCACATAGAAGACTTCAAAATGCATGCATATCTGGCAAGGTGAAGTTTGTTAGAAATGTGTTAAATATAACTATAATTACAATTGAACTTGGGTTGTATTAGGGTTAAGATAGGGTTTGAGTCAGACCTCTAACCTAAGCCATAAATATGAGGTCAATCTTTGTTGTAACATGAGATAACTTGGCAGCATGTTTGGACGGCGGAAAAGACATGTGCGTATAGCTGTTCCAGACGCACATGCTCGGCCCTTGAACTTGGGTTGTATAGCTGTTGCTTATTTAACCATGCGGTCATGGAGTTGTGATATACTCCCTCCATTCCCAAAAGAATACAATTCTGAAACTGTGTGTCATATTTTAGTATATCAAGTTTAATCAATTATAGATAAAAAAATATAAATATTTATAATATCAAATAAATACCATTAGATAAATTATAAAATGTATTTTCATAATAAATTAATTGAGAGCATAAATGTGAATACTATTTACTAGAAACTTGGTTAAACATAAAGTAGATGGCACACAACCCATAGTTACATCCTTTCGAGGACAAAGGTAGTACTCATTAATGAGCGGAATGAGTGGATGGACAATGGATTCAAGGGCCGAGTATGATGTCTTATGCAAACATCATATGCTATCTATTTGGCTGGAATCAAATCCGTTTTTTAAATTTGATCAAATAACCTCATTCATCATACTAGTACTAATTATTAACTTATAAAGAATGAGATGATAATAGATTACTCATTTCATTCTATAAACCAAACAAAAAAAAAGAGTGCGCCCTGTAACATTCCTTAGCACATTGACACTTTGGAGGCCTCCCGGTCTGTGCTCAGTACCTACAAGCACGCAGTGGCTTCAGACCAACGCCGAGGAGGCCGTGCACTTCAAGCTATTCAGACTTTCAGAGGAGGCAGACAGGCAGTTGACTGAGGAGGAGCTCGAGCGGGCAAAGGAGGCCACTGCTCGCTTTACCGCTTTGAAAAGCATGAATGGATATATATCATTTGTTTCGTGGACCATAACTACAATGGTGCAGATTAATCAAATATATATTCTAGAAATGCAAGTGCTTAATGTGTTCAAAATTGCACGTCTGATACTTGACATTCATCTACATGGATTGTAGCACAGAAACCCACAAGAGTTAAAAGATATACTAATTTGATTTTTTATAACCTTTTTATAGATAACGGACAAACACAGTAATTTTTTCTGAGTTCTCTGTTCCTTATCCTGTGTTTTTTCCCAAAATCGAAACTCTTCATCAAACTGTCGTTAAAAGAACCTCAGCTGTAATTGCAGAGACACTGAAAAAAAAATTAGCTGTATATGATTTGATCAACATGAAAAGGAAGCAGATAATGATCCTCCAAATAAAATTCTGAACCGGCTGCTATCAATAGATGATGCATACGATGGGGCAATGTGTGTATAACTATACCGTTGCCCTTTTTGACTTTGCAATAGCTTACATTACGTGCTCTTGGCCTGAGTCAAAACGTGGATTGAGCAGGAGCAGCCCTTGTTTAGAAGATATAGGACTGGGTTCAAGAGTTTGGGTGGCAAAGTTTCGACCCTGTTAGGAACATGGAAACTTCATAGAAAATTAGAAATGATAGATATTCAAACCAAGTTCCTTTAAGACTACGGAAAAAATTTTGTACATTCCAAATAGGTCCTTCACCTGCAGGGTTGCATCTATACTGGTGGTGAAACTCATTTTTGAATCATTATATCCTAATATCCTATATATAACCTCATTCTTCTATACAAAAGTGGTTATAGATGTACTGGATCAAAGGATGAAGGACTCAACTGTAACCAAACAAAATTAAAATTCTCTGCAGGTAATCTGGATTTGCCAGTGGAATCAGCACATTCTCTGGTTAAATCCTCCAGAAGTTCACAACAAGTTTCATGTTGCATGCATTTAGTTTCTTTGGAATGACTTTTACATGAATAAACGGTTGTTTATCTCAGGAAGTAAACACACAAATCTTGTCTTAACTGTCAACCACAATAAACAGGGAATAACACAAAACATCAAACAAGACTCAAACTGAAATTATTATTGGAGGTTGAAAAATAAGCTATAAACAATGTAAATTAGATTTCTGAAGGATCTCTTACTCATTGTTCAGTGAATATAATATGGCAATATAGATTTAGGATATGTAAATGCACACAGCACCAGGCACCAGACCAGTGTTTGTGGCTTCTACTCCATTGGAGTGTGGAAAATCTTTGTTCTGCAGCTGCAAGCAGAGAGAACAATATTTTTATAAGAATGCAGCAGAATCTAACAATACAGAACATATCAATTGAGATGTTAGTTAGATGGACCCACTTCTCAATCTTGTTGACTATACCAAATGTCCACATGGGTAACATAGCTGTAAGCTGTGTGGCTGTAAACATCAGCAAAAACCAGGTATTATGACATTATTCAGCTCAAATATGTCCAGAAACGTTTGGCTTCCTGAAACAAGTCTTCAATGGTTTGAGTCAGCATCAGCCGTACAATTGTTGAGATCACTAGCTCATCACAAGAATATTTGGGCACATACATATGACTCCTAGTTCTATACTAGTACAGTTACAACATTGTTAGCAGTTGACAGCTACTAGTACTCCCCTAATATCTAACTGATACCACATGCTACAATCACCTTTTCACTGTAACGAGTTACAACAACTTGCATTCCCTTTAATCTATGAACCACTGATTGTTTCGGCAGTGGTGAAGAGTTCAACTGGAATGATGGCAGTAGTTTTGCAGGGAGCAGTCTCTAAAAGACCATCATCCTAAGGTTATGGCACAAGACTTACACAATCAGTAGAAATGTTAAACCCCAATTTTATGATGACCAAAACTTAAAGGTATTTGTCCTTGATTATCTTCACTATCTCTTCGACTCTCTTAATGATTTTAGGATTCATCATGTCTTTTGCTTGCCCAAGGAGAGTGCCTTCTCTGCTGTTATAATATGCATCAACTATTGCTCTTGCCCAAGTGTGCAACGCCTCTGGACTCCTACAATCCGCCAGGTAACAAGCAACATTAAAACAAAAGAAAGCGTAGACAAAATCATCGCCAGAGGACCAGTAATACTTACGTGTATAATGTATCAACATTGTCCCCTTGAAGTTCAGGACCAGGAGTAAAAGCATCATTAAGTGCACTTAACCGTTCTTCTGGATCCTCTATCATTATAAGATGTTTCAGTATTTTGATATCCTTCGGCATTTGTCTCTGGAGATTGGCCACCGCAGTCATATATAGGTGAAACATTATATCCTTTGCCTGTGACATGCATTGCAGATCAGGAAACACCCAAAGAAGAATTTGGAGCACTAGAGCACAACTACAAGATGCTAAAAAGTATAGAAACTGAAGCACATATGCGCTTGCTGAATGCTATAATCATTTACCTCAGATTTCGTGATGTCAGTGCCCTTTGCAGCTGACCAAGCTTTCGAAAGCATCAACACTAATGCAGAATCCAGTTCTTTCTTCTCAGCCAAATCATCAATCTTTCTGCAAGCAGCATCCACCGAAGGTGAATTAAGTATATCTTTTAACTTCAATTCTGCAGCATTCAAAGCTTCAAGACTCCCTGTTGTATCATCATGAGCTTGTAGGGCATCTACACAATCATTTCCAAGCTTTGCCAACTCTACAAGGATAAGAAGGTACATGCTACAAAATATAAATCGGTAGAATCCAATTGGCCAAACAACACAAATGACAAATGAAAATCTTTATCTTCAGATCAGTGATCAGCACTAATGCTGTCTACATGCCTATAAACAACTAATGACATTCAAAACTCCACAACAATTCTTGTTGCACAAAAGTAAAATTTCACAGAAATTACTCAATAATTGAGAGAAAAGAGTTGGCCTTCATTATGACAGTGCAGGTTAATCAAAATACATTCTAAAAATGAAACTGTTTAGGGTCTTAAGAGTTGTACAATGGATATAGCTCTATTTTATTTATAGTATCGGAGTGCATAAACTCACAAGAACTAACATATAGTTAACTGTCATTGTTATGTCTACAATATTGCAGATAAGCAAACCAGTACATCTGTACATTTGATATGTTTCTCTATTATAATTTATACGTTATACTTTTTTTTTTGTGTGTGTGGGGTGGGGGGGGGGGTAGTTTACAGACATCATAGGCCAGTACTCAAATGCCTCACCAGTTTGTTTTTCAGGTTCATCATGATAAGACTCTGCAACATAGTAAAGGTGGTTGAAGAATTCCACTGTGAAATCTTTACGCCGCTTAGCAACTATAGCACCAAGTTTATCAGATGGTGTGGATTTTATTACTTCAAGAAGTTCATTATGCCTCTGTACATCCTCATCAATCTGAAAAAGGAGGGGGCAAACTATATTAATATCTGTTATGAGGAATCCTAAATCAAATAATCAGCCTATTCGCTGGTTGGTTTCTGGGCTGATAAGTCCGACTGGTGCTGGTTTGTTGTGAGAGGAAAACACTGTATCATAGCTGATAAGCCTTGGCTGAAACCAACAAGCGAACAGGCTGAATAAGGTAAACCATGCCTGCAGTGAACCAGTAAATGCATGACCTCTTTAAGTTTTCTACAAAGTCTGAGAAGATTGTGCTTCATTTCAGGGTTCAGCTCTGTATCTGCTTTTTCCTGGCAGCGTTTAAAGAAATGAGGCCTTATGTTGTCCCATTCCCTGCTAAAAGCTAGTAATTTTCTCCAATCCGTTGGTGTAGGTTTATCCACCAGAAATACACCAATTAACTTATCGCATATTTTAATCATTTTGTTATTGTCTCTGGTGTTTTCGTTCATCTTAACAGCCCTTTCTGATTGATTATCTTCATGAAATGAAGTATCCATAGCACTATTCAGATATCCACTGCTTGATGGTGAGCTTTCTACATAATCATCAGAAACCGCTGCCACATCACCAAAGGCTGAGATAGAACAGCACGACTTGGGAAGACCAAGAAACAGACAACCTAAGATCAAGAAAAAGAAAGTATGCTGTTACACAGAGAATAAACCTTTGAAGAATAGATAAAGCACAAGATATAAGGAACCTCATGAGCTCAATCTACTAGATACACCGAAATACATATCGCTGCAATGTTAAGAGACTCGTGTATGCCTAGTAGCCAAGCATCTGACTAGACTAGTATCAAATGCTGCTGCTACACATATTAAAGAAGGTGATAAGGTCAAAAGCAAAGAGGCATGCCTGAAGCATATGAAAAGAACAAGCGTTCAAAAATGCTACTACAGAGATAGAAAGATAGTCAATACATATAGTATATAAAATCTACACTGAATACATCAAACACAGTCAAGAGATCATTGTATCACCTTACCTATTTTCAAGGAAAAAAATCTACACCGAAGACACTAAAGATAGAATAAAACTAAGAAGGCAAGTGAATTTTTTCAATTGACATTCTTTACTACCTAGAATGTTGATGCCTTGATACAAATATTTCCTTTTGTGTTTTATCACTAAAACTTACAATAAATTTTTCATACAAATTGCAAAAGAAAAACAAATTCTAATTTTCAGTTTATCTGAAGGAAAATGCACAAAGAAGGACCTTAAAATAATAAAAGACAAATGAATGAGGTCACAGGATGACAGGAAAATACAATTCATCAAAAGAGCCTTCATTTAATGCAAGCTTCAAAAGAACCTTTTGTATAGAGCAAGTTCTACAAGGAACTAAGAAGAGCTGAACTTAGACTACATATAAAACTTATCATGCATTACTGGACTACAGACATGCTCGGTAGCACCTTTAGACTAATTAGTTGTAGTGTGTGCCAGGATTCAAGATGACAATGGCAATCACTGCTAGGAACAGCATTTTCTGTTAGTGCAAGGCGTACTCTTTGTTCTATTGAATATATGCTATGTTTTGTCCTTTTCTGTCTTGCTTCTTACCATAATCACTTGTAATTAAAATTTTAAAGAAACTTTCGGAGAGAGCTGATTTCAAAACAAAAGCTGATGGATTAACACCATAAAAGAATTTGGAGATCATGGGCAACCGGGCAAATGTCAATTTTATATGTGGCTGGTGACTCAAAACAAATGTTGGACAGCTGATAGAATTGAAAAGAGAGGTTTGCCACACCCAGCCCATTGGCCCCTCTGTGACCAGGAGCCTGAAATGATCAACCATTTGCTTGTTGGTTGTGTATTTGCCCAAGGATTCTGGTTCTTGTTGCTCCGAAGGGTTGGGTTGCAGAGCCTTTCACCGCAGCCTACAGTCCCATCCTTTGATGATTGGTGGTCTGATGCAAGTTCCAAGGTTGATGGGGAGGTTAGACAGGGACTCAATTCAATGATCATCTTGGGAGCTTGGTCTATTTGGAACCTCCGTAACCGGTGTTTTTTTTTTATGAGTATCACCGAGTTTATCCTCGATCACACGGTCCAGGTTAGAGATGAGTTGAAATTTTGGGGTTTAATGGGGCAAGTGGTATTTCCTACCTCACTGCCCTAGCACCTGAGGAAGTCTAGGTCAGATTTTGGGGTTGATATTGGTCGGTTTCCTTTTTCTTTTGGACCGCGGGTGAGGGGGGGATCCTTGGATCCCTAGTGTGGGTTGGTCTTGAACATGGCTCGTGTTGAGTGTTGTTTGTAAGGATTATCTACCCATTTTATTCTTCTTCTTAATACAATGATACGCAGCTCCCCTGCATGTTTGAGAAAAAAAAACACAATACCAGCCTTGGCCTCTGGGGAAAAAAAGGAAAACAGAACAAGCACAATGTTTGCCCCTGGTGTGTGGAAATCCACATATTCATTTCCTCGCATGCCATGAATCTCATGATTATGTTCAACCACTCTTTTTTTTCATTATACAAGGACATGACATCAGAAGAAATCAACAACAATTGACAACACATATCTTAATATGAACATTGTCAGAGATATAAACAAAAGATTATGTCAAAAACCACATATATTATCTTCCTCTTTTAGCATTACCTATTGTTTATGTATTTTTTATCTGCACAACCAAAATACATTAAAAATAATACGAATCTAGTTCTTGGGCTGACAATAGCATCGGTTGCGAATACATAACAACCAACACTAGCTATTGTAATGGTTACAGTTTTGATCAACATCATGATAATTTTGCGTGAATACAACGGCCCCTGTTCTGGACTTTATTCAGCTCGCACATATAGGGCCCAAGTAGCCAAGTAGGTTACAGGAGCCACTAAGTTGGCTAGTAGATTAGGAAAGAGAAAGAATAGGATAAGTCAATTCGAATTAGAGTTTAGAAACTGAGTGTCCCAACTCCCCAGTTACAGCCCTATGAGGGTTTGGCCATCTTGACTAAAAAGGACAGCCAGCAATGTGACAAAATCAAGCACGAAAAGGAACCAATCCACTCTTTTCAAAAATTCAACCTGCATGCAGGAGGAGCCCACAGCAGGCAGTTCAACATCTAAACAATCACAATCTTTGCAAACCTGATTTGGGTGGTTTCTCGATCTGCACTCTGAGAATTCATCTTCAGACAAATGGCAGACTAAGAATATCTATTGGATTTATCATCAGCATTGCAGAATGTAATTTTTCGATCCGCACACTAACAATTCAAATGCAATTTGTCAACCTAAGCCAGGACAAATCTATAAAGGCAGAATTGTAATTTTGATCTAGCCTAGCCTGCCACAACCAATACACAAGAATTTTCCTTATTTCCTATCCGTTATGTCAACTCAATCAACTACTCAAGCAATAGAGAACCAGGAGAGGGTCGAAGTAGCGTCCTTACCAGTGGGCGTCGAAATGACGGCGCCACGGGGGCGGAGAAGGCGGCTGAAGGCGAGGATGCTGGCGCGGGCGCCAGGGGAGCTGACGAGCGGGAGGCCCAGCCTGGCGGGGGAGGGCGACGGTGCCTGGCATGGGGAAGCGGAGGAAGTGGTGGGCATCGCCATGGCGAATTCGAGGATGAGGCAAGCCTTTGCGCTTCGAATCTTTACTAGGGTTTAGGGAAAGTGTGGCTGCGAACTGCGTGCTGACCGCAGGCACGGCGTGCGCGTGGCGCTTGCTCGTCCGGCAGCCACGGAGGCGGATTTCGGCATGGGAGTGGTCGACGGCTCGACGACGTGCGCGTGCCGCTTCGCTCAGTTCGCTGGTCTGAACTGAAAAGTTCAGCCGGCTGGTTTCATCCAACCGGTCAGTGTTTCTCTCTCACACAACTAATCAGTTTCAGCCAAGTTTTAACCAGCCGAACGAGATCTTAGGTTGGGTTGGGCCAGACACTGCGGAGATCATAAGGGCCTGTTTGGTTCTCGCGAACAACGTCCCAAAACCGTTTTGGCCAGATATTTTTATTTAATTTATATGTAGCAGATTTTAGCAGGAATTGTTTCGGATAGAAACGACTTCTAACCAACGAGTCCTAAGCCGGATTCATTTGAAAAAAAACATGCCGGATTCATTTGAAAAAAAACATACCAGGATGAGGACGTATGTTTATGGAAGCAACCAAACCACAGATAAATCTTGTGTTTTACATTACATTATTATATAGTTAGTTTGTGTAGTTATACGTGTAACTCTAGTTGAGTAGTGTTGTTAGAGTACATTTTTCTTGTAGCTTAACTAAGGTCCTGTTCGTATGAATTTATCAGTCATGATACAATATTTCTCTCTCACAACAAAACAACATCAATGTAGAAACCATCAACCGAACAACTCTTGCTAGCCTCTAGTCTCGGATGCTTTAGTAGCATTATTATAAGCTTTGCTATTAGAATTATTTAGGAGTTTGCTACTTAGTGAAATAGGCTAGACAAAGTAGTTATTATTAGGTCACCTTTATACTAATCACTTTGCCTGCGTATTGTGGTTTGTGTAGTAGACAATTTACCCCTTCTATCCATCCTAGATTCTTTCAAGGCCAAGTTTAGTTAAAATTATCTAATTCACCCTATCTTAGACATCATGATCCCTTCAACTGATATCAAAGACGGTTGGCTCAAATTTGAACCTTGGCTTAATCGTCATTGAGTCTTGACACTATTTAGAGTGGGAATTAATGATGGTTACTCATAGCCTTCGCACTTTGACGACACTAATTTTTTCTATTGGCATGCTAGAATGGCTTTCTACCTTAAAGAGTAGATTTAGGTGTTTGAAGACTCACCAAGGATGGGATGAAAACCCAAAAGAATCCTAAGAAACCCACCTCTAGTGATGAAAAAGAAATTCATGTTAGCGCTCATTTTAAAAATTGCCTTTTTGAATTAATTAGCGTTGGTGTGTTTAATCAAGTGTTCACCCTCACTAAGGCTAATGAAATTTGGTTTAAAGTGCAAGAGCTTCATGATAGTTCTAGCATCATCCGTGAGCAAAAAAATTGCTTAACTAAACAAACATAATAAGATGCTTTTACTATGCTTTCTAATGAGCTTGTAAAAGACATGTATTCTTGTTTGAATCTAATTGTTAATGAGCTTAATGCTATAGGTTTGACCAAGGTGATCAAGATGGACGTGGCGAGGAAGAATCATCTCCATGCTACCACATGACAAGTATGCCTCAATCATCACCATCCTCCACAACATAGAGGACTTGCACCATGACTCCTACACTTGTCACTAGAAAGGTTGCAACCTTTGAAATGTCAAGAAAATTGGGTCAAGAAGCTTCTTTATCAAGCAAATAAAACATTGTTGTCACTTGTGATGAGCACAAAAAGATGAAGAAGGGCAAACAAGTTGAATCATCATCAAGCTTAAATTCAAGTGAGGACCATGATGAAGAAGAAGACGATGATGAAGAAGAAAATCAAGATGAAGCTTCCACCTCCTCCTTCGATGATGCTGAAAAAGTTATGCAACGTATATCTAACGACGATGTTGTTATAGATTCATGCATCGATGAAGTTGCAATGGAGAATGAGGTGCTTAAGCAAGAAGTGGATCGCCTCAGCAAGGACTTGATTATGTTGAAAGGCAGGAGTGAGCAAGCCTAACCTCATTAGGATAATGCTGCCAAGGGCGTAAAGAAGCTGGATGAGGTTGCCATAAGAAAGGCCACAAGTCCTATGAGTGCAAGGTGAAAGAGGAAGAAAAGAAGAAAGAGAAAAATAAAAAAGCCAAGCTCTCACATGCCTACACCAATCGGGTTGACAAGAAGAAGGCCACTCCCTTTTTGCTCAAGTTGAAGAACCGGAAGGTCCGATCAAATTACCGGACAAATCCAATGCCTATCACATCATCTAGCCATGTGAGACTAGTCGTTGTTGGTTATTGGGGACCTCTCCTATGATGCACCACTAGAGGATTTGGGCGCCCGTCTAAACCTTCTGCAAAAACTCTTGGATCACCGAAGAATTTCGGTGTGTTGAAACCTTCTACAAAACTATCGCCTGACTGTTGGCCCAGAGCCTAAGATATGGTGCTAACCAGCTCTATACCACTGGAGTTTTTTGGTGATTATAGCGATGATTAGACTAGTCCTCCTGACCACCAGACCCTAAGCTCAGGTGCCTCTACCGGGAATACCATTGTAGCTTTTCGATGCTCCTATGCAGAGCCTAATGAGCTCTATTCCTCTACGTCTTCTCGTTCGGATTTCAATCTCTTGGTGTCATGGACTTCATCCAATTCCTTTAGGTATTGATCATTTGATTTTTACGTTGCCTTTGTCCAAGCCATCTTTGTGTCCATTTGAATAAAACACCTTGTACACTAGCAAACTTCATTAGTTACAATCACCAGAATCACATATGGCCCTTTGAAAGGTCCTAATGGCTAGAGGGGGGGTGAATAGCCTATAAAAAATTCTACAACAACACTAAGCAATGTGGTTAGGAAAATATGAGGCGAAGCAATTCTTGCACTAGCCTACTAAAAATGTAAGACACTTACCATAATTCTAGTTTCTATAGTCTCTAAGCACACAAAAGCTAAGTCACTACACTAAGTTAGTGAGCTCTCAAAGACTAACTAAAGAGCCTCACTAACCACTAGACCCGACACAAGCTAGCTCTCAAAACAAATTACACTAAAGAGCTTAGCTACACTAAGAATGTAAATACATGAGATGGATAGTGAGTTATACTGCTGTGTCGAGGGATGAGCCAATCACAATATGAAGTCAATCAATCACAATGAATACCAAAAAATCCTCGGGACAAGATGACATAATGATTTTTTACCGAGGTTCACTTGCTTGCTGGCAAGCTAGTCCTCGTTGTGGCGATTCACTCACTTGGAGATTCACGCGCTTATAGGCATCACACGCCTAACCCGCAATCGGATGCCGCACAACCAATATAAGATGAGGATCACATAAGCCACGAGCAATCTACTAGAGTACCTTTTGGCTCTCTGCCGGGGAAATGTCAAGTATCCCTCACAATCACCATGATCGGAGCCGAAGACAATCACCTTCCTTCGCTCGACGATCCTCGCTGCACCAAGCCATCTAGGTGACGGCAACCACCAAGAGTAACTAAGTGCCTCTAGATGCAATCACTCAAGCAATGCACTTGGATTCACTCCCAATCTCACAAAGATGATGTATCAATGATGGAGATGAGTGAGAGGGCTTTGGCTAAGCTCAAAACGTTGCTATATCAATGCAAATGGCCAAGAGAGTGAGCTTGAGCCGGCCAAATGGCTTAAATAGGAGCCCCCATGAAATAGAGTCATTGGGCTCTCACTGCACTGCCACTCGGGGTGACTAAACACGCTAGTCATGCTGACTAGACGCATAAGCCCTAGCGTCCAGTCGCTACCAGCCGTCCACGTGTCCCCCGTGTTCAACGTTGTTCGCATGATTCCAATGGTCAAAAGCTCACCCCGCATGGTTAAGTGATGACCAGACGCATTCGATATAGGATCGGGCGTGCCTGTGCCACGCCAGCACACACGTGCCATCGCTGCTTCACCCAACGACCGGATGCGCTGCTCCCCATGGAACCCCAGCGTCAGATCAACTCCAGTAAGCATCTAGAGCCAAAAAATCTCGACCGAACGCGTTAGGTCATGCATGATAGGACTCGCTAGTGAGTCCGATCACCTATGCCTTGCTCTGTTGCTTGCGTCAATGTACGTCACCAGGTGATCGGACGCACCTCCGTCGTGTTAGGTCACCAACACTGTTCAACATCCGGTCACTCGACCGAGGCGACGCCACCATGCGCTAGCTGACCGAACGCATCGGTCCAGCGTCCGGTCGCTGTAAATAGCGCCTTCTCAACTGCAACTTCACCACCCTTGATCAAATGTGCTAACCACCAAGTGTATCACCTTGTGTATGTGTGTTAGCATGTTTTCACAAACATTTTCAAGGGTGTTGGCACTCCACTAGATGTAAATGCATATCAATGAGTTAGAGCATCTAGTGGCACTTTGATAACCACATTTCGGATACGAGTTTCACCCCTCTTAATAATACTACTATCGATCCTAAATGTGATCATACTGCTAAGTGTTTCGATTACCAAACTAAAAAGCTCCTATCAAGTTTCAACTTTGCCTTGAGCTTTTTGTTCTTCTCTTTCTTCTTTTCCAAGCCGAGCACTTGATCACCATGGCCATCACCACCATCAACATGATCTTCATTTGCTCCACCACTGGAATAGTGCTACATATCTCATGACCACTAGAGTAAATAGGTTAGCACATAGGGTTTCATCAATTCACCAAAATCAAACTAGAGCTTTTGTCGACATAGAATTTTCGTCCCATGCTGAGGACACACGCAGCAAGCCGGAAGGGTCTGCTCGATGGAGCTGTAGATCCGCCTAGCTTCAGCACAGGGATGGTCGATCCTGCGCACTTCCTGAGACATGCCAATCAATTTGACCCTGTAATTGACAAGGAGAGAAAGTTCATCAGTAATTAAGGGCGGAACTTGCCGGTGTTGCTAGACAGTCCCGAATGTGTGGCTCTGAGAGCCGATATGAAAGGAGATCGAC